TCTGGTTTCCGTCTACTGCATTCATAGTACATTCATAGTAGTATAATTTTTTTGGTTATGTATAGTAGCAGTATATGAGTTTACTTTTATAAATGTTCTTAAATCTTTAAGATTCTCGCAATTTCTTTACTCACTCCGTATAGTTTCTTTTAGCCAAAGGTAGCCTGGTCGTTACCTTATTATGTTTTACTGTACAAGACACAGTTTGGAAGATAGCTCAACATAGCAAAATCGAATAGAAATCTAGTAGCGAAGATGATGTACCTAATTAAAAATGAGAATAAAATAAGAAAATTAAGCGACAGCGACAAACGATAGTGTCATACTCGGTCAAAATCAAACAAATTAAAAAGAAATCATAAAAATATAAGGGTAAAAAAGAAGAAAATTACAGTTTTCTGTCTGAAACTCTAACATAAAAAAAGAAATTACCCGATAAATCTACCAACAAAGTACATTGCGCGGGAAAGTGTAAATTAATTCATTTATTTTTAAAGTTCTTTATCGTCTATAATATTCCCTTTGTTCTCATACTTAATTCTGTATAACGGCTAACAGTTGCAATAAATAACTCAGTTTACAAAACATCAAGTGTTAGAACGCATAACTCATATAACTCAAGATGCAGCAAGACGCGTTACAGTTTTTGTATGAAACAGTTGTAACGCCTAATTAATTTAATTGCTCTAACTGCTAAAATATTTATAAATTAAAAATATATTTTTTGCTATAATAAAAAATAAAAAATTTACAATATAAAACCTTAAAAAACTTTAGATTTACTCAAATTGCTGTTTTTTTAAATGAAGAAGATGTGCTAGACACGGCAGCCCTATTTCAATATTATCTTTAAAAGCCCAAGATGCAATGTTTGCATTTTTGGCCAAAATTAGAAAATTTTACTTTTATATGAGCGCAAACGCGCAACACTTTCTATTTTAATCTATGATAAAACACACTTTGACACCAAAGATATACGAAATGAAATAATTACGCGACTGCGCTCATATTAAAATATTATTTTAAATCTTTGATAAGGGCGGTGCAGGATTAGCCACGTAGCAAAGTAGCAAATGCTATGGGCCCTGCACAATTTTGAGCCTCGCTATGGTCCGACCAATAAATTAATTTTTCAGTCAGTGTTAAAAAATACAAGAAATAAATAAGCCACGCTATTGCCTAAACTTATATTTTTAAATATAAACATAAACTGATAAATAAAACTCAAGGCACAGATTAGTTGTGTTGTGCTATTCGGAAAACTAAGAAATAATTTTCTGTTTCGTTTGCAAATATATTGATTCCGATTATTCGTCATCGTCACCACGGACAATATACCTACAAGGTGATTGAAATAATGCCCACAATTTTTTGAAAAACTATAAACCATGACGTACCATTATGTTGTTGTTAAACCTCTAAAACAAGAAAGCATTGCAAGTTAAATTGAGTCTGAACATATGTATTGGCGATCACTTTTACAATGAAATGTTACAAATCAAGAAAAGTGTATTATATAGTGTAAGAATATTGTTTTATTTCAATTGTACAGTTATCCTCAAACATACCAAGGGTCCCTCACAAAAATTGCTACAGACACCGGCATTTGGCTTAATCCGGCACTGGAAGGGAGAATTTTGACGGAAAATTCTTTGACGAAAGATTCTTTGCTTCTCCAATTGCTATAAATCCAACACGCTTATCACATTTCACTTCCAAATGTATACGATTACAAATAAATTCCTAACTACTGATACTATTTAGGCATATAAGTTTAATTAAAAAGTTAATACCTACCTACATGAAAAACAATTAACGAAATAAAAGATAGTACCTACTACGTTTAATAAATTATACCTTAACTTTAGACAGATATTTTTCTATCACATAACCACAAAAAGAGTCGAAAATAGGTACTATATCACTAAAGTAAATACTAGCTTATAGTCAGACATTTTATCCTATATCCTTCCTTACCTCCGCTAAGGAATCACAAGTAGTAGGTATCCAATAAACGGCTCTAGCTTTATTACCGTCTAAGTCTTTGTCATCGTTATCGTACACAGGCAGCTCTTTATGGTTTCCTAAATAATTTTCTTTTGGTGCTATTCTTTTATATCGACTAAATAATGGTAACTTGTTGTAAACATTCTCCGCTTCCATTGACGTATAAGCTACATCAACCGACTCTTGTGCTAAATTAACTTCTAAGTTTATCTGCAAAGAATAACAAAATATTTAGATAAGGTGATAAGTAAATAACTAAGTACGATGTTATAATTTACATTATAGTTTATTTCTGTGGCAAGCTTACCAAATCACTGTGCTATGGCTGCGGTTGACAGAAATATGACGTGAGCTAATTACAATAGTTGTGCTAATAACTTGTACCTATGTGGTGCGCCGACACGCATACTTTTTATATTGGCACCATTCTGGTAAACTTAATAAACAGCGTCCAAGAAATATGGTTTTATACCAAAAAACTACGTCTTAGTAAACAGTAAATAATAATAAGAACGACATCAAATTTATTAGTGTTTTGTCACAATGAAGTTGTGAATTTATAAAATATTCTCAATAAAATGACAAAGTTACCCCTAATATTTGCCATTTTTTCGATTTATTCTCTTTATTGTTCTCTTCTTTATAGGGAAAATAGATAAATATATGAGTCACTCTGTAACCGCCCTCGGCTAATCATGCAGCATGATTCCCTAATCATGCAGCACTTTTGCGATAATCGTAATAGCTTTGTGAATAATAAATTAAAAAAGTTTTTACGCGCAAACCGCCATACTGTCCTTATCTATTTCATTGCTGGGCGCAACGGTAACTTGAAAGTTTATACATAATTTTCGTTTTTTGCTGTTCAATTCTATCGCACTTTAGCATCTGTAGGTATTCGGTTCCCGTCGCAGTATTTAAAATTACGTCCCTAAATCAGATAAACTTTTATAAAACTTCAATTTATATATTGAAAACATATATATTATACTTTACAGTTTGAATGCAAGATGACAATAATGAAGTCACATATTCACATTAACAAAAAAATAAGGATGCACTTCTCTTACCAGATTTATCAACAAAACCAGTAACACTTTAAACATTTTGCTGTAGGCGTTTATGAAATGTTCGAGAGTATTTCGTGAAAGACCTTCGTGTAATGCTTACTGTAGTTTGTTCACACTTTTATAGCATCGGTTAGAAATTATGCTAATCATCAAACATTATCGACTTCCTAGGTGACATAAACTTGTTGTCGTTGACGACGCATCGAAGACTTCTGCCAGCCGTACCGTGACGAAATTTCACGTGCATCATCATAATTACGGAGTTATAATTGGCTCGTTAGTTATGTTTATTACGAGAAAATTCGATATAATTTTAAGCAGTATTAACTCTCCTTGAAAATCACAAATTTCGAGTTAAGTAATTATGGACAAAGTCCAAACAGACGGAAATTTCTAACGAGAATCTTCAATCATACATTTATAATCATACAGATACTATATCTGTGATCATACGTCTCAGATGACTAATAAGACAAAATGTAATTTCTTTTTTATAGTGAAAATTGATAAATGTTATACGCTAGAGCGTATAACATTTATCCCGAAGTGTAATATTCGAAAGTGACCCATGCTCCATACCTACATATTTTGCCTAGGGAATGCAATCTCGTCCACGCGAGATTTCGCTCTCGCGAGATCTCGGCCTTTTTTAGCGAGATTGATCTCGGTCGAAAAATGGGCGAGATCTTGCGAGTTTAACGAGATTGCATTCGAGCATAAATCGAAAGCGGCAGCGTGAATTTATGCGAGCCCGATAATAAGACGAATAGCAAATACCTATTCTTCGACCATTTAGTGCTTCTTAAAAAACTACTTTCAAAATTATTCGTAATAATGACTCGCGAATCTCGCGAGATCTCGTAATTGGCGAGATCTCGCGGTATTGATATTCATAAACTCGCGAGATCTCGCTCGAGTCCCAATCTCGCGAGATTGCATTCCCTAATTTTGCCCCACGACCGGCTAAGTTATTTTAATGGTCGTCCGAACTAGAAATTCGTTTTATCTGGTTTTTATTGAAACTCGACCGTTTTTAAGATAGAAGGCAAAATTCAATGGCCATTAGTCTTAGAGTTGGAAGAAGACATAGATTATCTTTTCCCAAAACATCATAAACATTACCCCGAAAACACAGAAACCTCTTTTGTGCTTTGTGATCCACACTGACAAAGTTGCGGGTAAAAGATGCATAACAAAAAAAATTCAAGTAAATTTCTTTTAAAGTGTTTTATTATATCAAATAAGTAATCGCCATAGTATCAAAAATCGTCTCCTCTAGTTAAACAATATCATAATCTTTATCTAGGGATATTAATTCTTGACCGTTTCAAGTTGACAAAGGGCAGGCTAATAAAGATCACGTTTTTATAATCATGCTAAAAATACCACTTCTAATTGATTGCGAAGAAAATGTGTATTTATGACCCAACCATTTTTTTCTCATAATTATTTTTTTAGTATGAATTAATCACAATTCAATAATTTAAAAGAATAATGATAGTGTACTGAGGGAAACATTAAAAAAATATATTTGTCCAAATAGTTACATGTATACAAAAAGGTGGATTAAATTTTAGTGCAACTTACATCAACACATAGCACTTTTCAACGAAATCCCTTGAATAATCTAAATACGTTTTCGATATAAAAAATACTGTTATAAAAACATACATATTTTATTCATACCTTTTTACCAAGTACACTTTTCATAAATAAAAACTGATAATTAGTAGTAGAATATGATTTGTAGGATATAAAAATATTTTTCTATATACAGACTTATTGCTTTAAACACGATAAAACCTAAGTTTACTTTGTAGGTATGATATACTATGGTCCCTGTCTCACAGAAAAACGTAAATTATAAATTAGTATAATCAAATTCTACTGTAAAACTTAAAAAGAAAATTGATTACTCTATTCCTACAATTTTGTTTCACGATGCGATTGAACCTTTAATGAATGCAGTTTGCTCTCAACCAAATCTAGATCGCTTATTCTCTCCAGAGTCGTCACGTTAGAAGGTTGTGTTATGTTTGATGCAGTCGACGTAGAGGCTGTATTATCCAAAACTGCACTTCTTCCTAAAGTTAGTAATTTTTTCTGTAAATTTTTATTGTTATCTGCAGATTCGGCTTGATTCTCTTGTGATGTTGTAGATATTATATCAGTAATATCATTTAACTGGTTCAAAATTGCTGAAACAATACAATATGGGGTTAGGGTAGCATAACAGTGATTTGTCCACGATGTCGGCAAATCGTATGCTGAGCTTTGGCCCTTTTGCATTGCTGCAACACACAGTTGATATTTATTTTTCATTCTCCATTGTTTTGTAATAACTTTGGATTTTATTTGAATTTTTATATTTTACTTTATTTGAATTGTGCTGTTTGTAATACAAATAAACTTTATTATTATTATGAGGAAAATAAACCTGATTTTCTTCCCGGTCCCTCGAAGAATCGAGTAAGGGGAGGACAGCCCTCGGCAGAGGAGATCTGACGGCCGAGAGTTAGGGCGACAGAGAGAAATCGGCGGACTGTTCGGGCGTTATTATTATTTCAACATTATTATTATAAAAACAAAACCTTATCAGCATAATAACACCTACTGCTAGGTCTCAGGTATTATATGAGTAGAATTACAAGACAGGCCAGTTACCACCAAGCACACTAAGTAAGGTGCCATTTGAAACAAATATTAATAAAACAATGGTCCCCCATCCTATGATTGGGCCACTTACTTCTGTTGCACGACCTTCGCAATCATGGTGTCAATAAAATTTCAAATTCAAAGTATATTTAAAATATATTTACCTGATATCTGCAAACTTGCAGTCTCGTTCATAAAGCTCTCATTACATTTTTTTATTTCAGCTTTTTCAGTATCAAAGGTTCTGTTTAACTTTTTCATGAAAGGGTGTGAACTTGATTGACGAAACAATTCTCTCCTTAATGATATAGCTTCCTTTGAAGGAGGCCTGCAGTCCTTCATATCCACCAAGAACAAATTACTGACTTCAGCAGAGAAATTCAGCTCTTGCTGGACACCCTTCTTCACGTGAAGATGTTTTATTAACTTCGATAATACCGCATTTTGGGTGGGTTTCTTAACAGTTGCAGTTCTATTAAATATGGTTCTTGTTATGTTAAAACCTTGTTTCTGCTGGGAATGCATGGCGATAGGATTCAATATTGTGCGAGTGATATTTTTATTGTCAGGGATATCGTCTTCACATAAATCGTAAGCAAACAATTGATCATCATCTTTCGGAAGTAATAATTCATGGATCTTTTTAACCAGGGAGTAGAGGAGTTTCACGCGAATGATCAACTTTTCAGAATCAACCGTTTGGCAATCAGATCTTTTTTGAACATCGTTACTCGTTTCATCTTTACTCAAAAAATTAAACACAACTTTACATTCTCTTTGGGCTAAAAACATATTTAATGAGTTATAATAATAATTTATTATAGGAACTAATTAGACATCATTACAATAATGTGCACATACCTCGGTCCAAAGATTGTAGACAATCATCCAACTCATTACTTTGCATCAAAGCATCCGGTTCATATAGTTTGTATATAGAGAAGAAATTATATACAAGTGAACCTATATTTATAACAACAGCCCAAATATCACAACATGAATCAAAATTTTGTTTCTCTATTACCAATAATAACTCTTTCATATAGAGCTTACACCTCTGAAATAATGAAAATATTCAGTCACTTAGGGATCCCTATGGATGGGATGAAGTAAAGAGAACAGAAACCACTACACGGACCTTGTGCATATTGCCGAGCAGCAGAGTCTAGTTGCAACCGGCACCAACAACTTAACGTGCTTTCCATATCTGATCAGACAAGATACTAAATTTTTGGTTACCCATCCAAAACTCGCCATCTTTAAAGTAACTTATGTCCATTTTCACTAAGCTTAGGAGTCACCAAAATCTGTCCCCTAAATATTTAAGATTCGTCTAAGGTGAAAATGCATTTCACCGATGATTTGGAACCTAACGACATTAAGCAAGTCTAGAATCAATATAAATTTATGCGGCGCCTTACGCAAGGCATTTGTGTAATGACAGGGCACAAATGTATTACAAATGGATATAAGAAAAAATGTTTATTGGAATTAAACTAATCTGCTTAGGCGAATCGTAAAATTGGTGTTTCCTAGTTAAGCTATGCCTTGTTTTAGTTTAGTGACAACGGGTGTTAACCTTTTATTATTTATTACAAAGGGGAACTTTTTCGTTTATCGCCCGATATCTAAATGTGATAGCTTAACAGATTTTGCGGCGAATTTCATCCATGGACAAGGAAATTAATGCTAATCTGTCTTTCTAATTTAGATATTAGAGCTGGCCTCAACTTAGATTTGATCTGGAGCGACGTCTGCCAATACTGACCTCAACAAATGCCACTGGATCCACAATCAAGAACACAGTATCTCTGATGTCCGTAATTTCCTGTTTCCAAAAATTTATCAAAAGCGTGGTGTGAAGATCATGTGGCGCCGTGGATATAGCCGGCACCAAATGTGGGTCTAATGACTCCAAGCTGGATAGACAACTTCGGAGCGACAAAATTCCTGAAATTCAAATTTCAAATTCAAATGTTGTTTTGTGAAATAACTATAATCATATTTATTTTTATAATCTCAATCTTTTATGTAAACTTTCTAGTATGTTAAATTCTAATAATGCTGTTGATTAGCCAAATGTTAAATAAATATTTATTAGCTCATATAGCTTACTTTTTTGATCTGATGAACAGGACACAGCAAAATACCCTATTTGTAAAAGCCTTTCATTATACAAATCAAAACTTTTCACATATTGACAAGTCTCTATGTCCATATCTTCAACATTAGTAGCACATGGACAAAACTGATCTTGCCTTTGCGCAAAGTGGTCTTTTAATACATCTACTGGTGAGTTGCAGTGAGCATAACAGTGTATTAATAAACTTAGTAAAGCAGTATTAATATTTGTTTCTAGAACATACAAAACATCTTTCAGAACATCTATCAAAATGTTAACATTTGATGGCATGATTGGTAATTTCAGTTGCTCTGGTGTAATCTTTACAGACTTTGTAATGTCCACTGTGACTAATTCATTGAATAAAACCTTTGTTTCTCTTAAAACCTAGAAATTAAATGAGTCAATGTTAATATATTGTTACTAGAACAATATTTGTTATTTATTAGAAATGACAACACATACAACTTGGCAACGGGCTTTCAGTGCCGGCTGGTCCTCATCTAAACAGTACTTGCATAAAGTCATTGCTGACAATAGTAGCTCATCTATGCACATGTGCAAAGACGTTATGTGATCAATCATCTGAAAACAGAAATCAATGCAAAATTAATTCATATTCTTCGAAACTGTTTATATGAATTGGTAATGTGTATTAAATCATAAGCAAATTGTTACATAAATATACGAGGGTCAAACTGAAAGTTCTTAGAACTGGCCACTTATAAACAATATAATAAAAAAATAATTCTAAAATTTGAAAATATAACTCTTTGCCAATATTACTGAGTATATATTTCATTCATTTGTCATTTGTTTTACGATTTGGCGGCAAATTGAAAATTGTCTGTGTCACGTAATCATGAATTTAACACGAGAAAATTTTCGTGCAATGATTTTTTATGACTTTCGATGTCATTTAAGTCAACAAGAAAGTTATGATAGACTACGATTGGCCTTTCACGATGAAGCCCCATCTCGTGCGACTGTTTACAACTGGTTTAATGAGTTTAAACGTGGTCGCACTAATCTCACTGATGATTTACGTGAGGGACGGCCTTCTACGGCGACGACTGAAGATAACATCTGTGTTGTGCGGCGTATGATAGAGACTGACAAAAGAGTGACCTATCAACAGATTCGGACAAGCTTAGGCATCGGTATGAGTCAAGTGCACAAAATCCTCCACGAACATTTAGCGGTCAGGAAGCTTTGCGCCCGGTGGATACCTCATAATTTGACTGAGGCTCAAAAACTCCATCGTGTGGATTGGTGTCGTAAAATGATTGAAAGATTTAACGGAGGTGACTCAAATGCTGTGTTCGACATACTAACAGGTGACGAAAGCTGGATTTACTGTTATGATCCTAAAACCAAAAGACAATCTGCTCAGTGGGTGTTTCCTTTCGAGGAGTTGCCAACTAAAGTGAAGAGAGATCGAAGTGCGGGAAAAAAAATGGTGGCCTCGTTCTTTGGAAGGATAGGTCATTTTGCAACAATTGTGTTAGAGGATCAAAAAACAGTTTCTGCAGAATGGTACACTACCAATTGTTTGCCACTTGTCTTGGAAAAAGTTCGAGAGAAACGACCTCGCAGTAGGATCCTCCTTCACCACGACAACGCCTCGTCGCACACCGCCAAGCGAACGATCGACTATTTGGCGACATCAAACGTTGAATTACTGGGTCACCCGCCGTATAGCCCCGACCTCGCGCCTTGTGATTTTTATTTATTTCCAAAAATTAAAGAAAAACTTAAAGGAAAGCGGTTTATGAATGCTGAAGAAGCGGTGGCTGCGTATCGCGATGCCATTGAAGAGACCCCTAAGGACGAGTGGGCAAAGTGCTTTTCCCAGTGGTTCCATCGCATGCAGCGGTGTATTGACGTGAATGGACAATATTTTGAAAAGATATAATAAAACTAATAACTGGCTAATGTAATCAGTTTTTGATATTCTAAGAACTTTCAGTTTGACCCTCGTATAAAACAAAATTCAACAAAATGTAGTACACATAGAAGTATTGGTAGACAAAATTAATATTTATGTGTGAGGATGAAACTGCATAATCAAAATTTAATGACAATAATATTCTTAATGAAAAATGCTTAAAAAAATATTTTGTCCCTTGCACTCTCAGAGGGGATGTTTTAAGCAAATTTCATAAAAAAAATTTTCAGTATAGTATTGTGAATGCAAAATTGATCAAATATAATAATAATAATAATATTCTTTATTGCATACTAAATAAGACATATCGGGCAGCAAAGAACAAATGGACAACTACATTTTTGGTCAAATTCACTTTTTTGCATAAAATGCTTTAGACTACTTTATTCAACGTAATTTTTCCATGCATGATAAATTATGCCTAAGTTTAATCATTAAGCCAAATCTGAAAAATATTATTATTTTATTATTAAAAAAGTTATTACACTTCAACCCTTTAAAAGATATCCATATAATAATACATATCTTTGCAGTTGTCAGTATCTAACTCTAAAACTTACAAAGGGGTAAATCTTTAAAAGTATTTGTATTATATTAACCGTGTAACTTATAATATTTGCTATACTAGCTACAGCAATTTGCTACTTCAACTCTTATACATATATATAAGATCATCTTTTTCTAATAAATGTTTGCATGACCAAAGCAACATTTTTAAAATTTGGATTAATGAATTCTTATATCACTGAATTTAACAAATTTAAAGATCTTAATTATGTAGTTTCACAATAATATTCTACATATGCTACATTCTAGAATGCTCCTTATTTCTTTTTAATAATCTTATAGTTTCTTTATAAAAAGAAAAATGAAGACCTTAAACTTGCTAATTATTAACTTTTACCCAAAACATAAACTATATTTTTAAATTGATTCATACAAAGTTAGTAAAATGTAATAAATGATAATCCAATAAATTATTCTCCACAATGGCCATAAAAAATACTGACATTAGTCACATTAGTATACTTACAACATCTTTCCATAGGTCATAGAGTTTTTGATCAGTCTTATAATCAGTTCTGTAAATAGTTGAGGCTAATTTGGAAAGAATATCAAAAGTATAATCAATCCAATTAACAAAATACATAGGGGTTGCAAACATATCTTCTGTGAAATTCATGTTCATACTGCGGGTTGTTGAGCACTCATTTACATACTTCATTACAGAGTCAATTTTGGACATGCACCAACATATTCTCTCTAATATAAACAGGCGGCTCTCCTGAAATAAAAACATGGAATCTTGTAAATAGGACAATAAATACCATTAGATACTTAGCTCTCTTTAAATTTGAATAGAAATGGTGTAAAATATTCTTTCGATACAAATTCAATAGTTTAAAAAAAAATATTAAAAGAGTAATAAAAAGGATAAGACGAAAGATGTATGATAAGAGTGTACATTGTGGCTTTTGGATATCTCTGCCCAACCCACTAGGGATATGGAGTGAAGATATAGATTAATAGTAAAGGTATAACTCGTACTTCAATAAAACTAATATAACCATACATACATTACTCTTATTATAAAAAAGTGAGTTACATATGAATTCAGTATTTACCTTAAGATAAACTGCCTTTTTTGATTCTATTTTAAATACTTCTAATAAATTCGAGATACATTTAATGATCTGCCTTGTGCTAAGCAGATAAACATCTCTAGTATTAGATGTATAGTTATTCATTGTATCCTCGACGGGACTCGACTGAAATGTAGTCCCAACTTTTCGCAAGTTAGGACAAATTTCGTGTAATAAATATTCCTGTAATTATTACATTGGGTATATAATTTTTTATTTCGAAATATGTAGGTACACATGAATATTCCACTATCAAGTTAAGTGCAACGTAATGGGAACAAACCACAATGAATTTTATAGCCGCTGGAATATCCTTAGGCAGGTCATGATAATCGAATCTGAAACTCATTTTAATTTATTTAGCAAAATTTACACTTCAAAAGTACTTATGTAAGTTGAGAATTCAGACGCAATAAAATCCGTAAATTTAAAAAACACTCGAAGCTAATTTCAAAACAAACCGAAACTGTCATTCATTGTTCATGTCAATGCGACTAATATTTTAGGGATTTCGAGCTATAATGGTGTGAGGAATCAATTACCATTAATCAATTAATCGATTTTTCAAATAATCAGTTTCTATTAATTATGATATCCTGATCAACGATTAACCATCGTTATTTCTTTAAACGTTAGCAATGGGAATAGTTTATAACGTTAGTATAGTACCTACTTACTTTTCTTCCATGGCTCAGCGGATCGCTATTGTGAATATAATTAGTAGATATTCTATTACTTATTATGACAAACCTGGAATACTCCCACGAACAAAAAGGGAACTTTACTCTTTGATCGGGGAACTCCCGATGAATGAATGAACAGATCTTACAGTTTTATTTTACATACAAATACAAAATAATGTATATATATACACGGTACATACCTATACCAAAATAACATTTTTTACATTTTGTGTCTATCTGTTTGATCCGACTTAACTCTGAAATGATTAGACCAACTTTGACGGGACTTTCACAGGCAGATAGCTTATGTAATAAGGAATTACTAGGGTTCGTTATTACCAGAGGTCGGAATTAGGTAGAGTTATTTATGTACTTGCATCGAAATGTTGATATTAATGTGGACCTTCGTAGCAACATCGCGCGTATTGGTATTTTGCAACTTTGGACATCCGAATTGATGTAAGTTTAAATTGTGTAAAAGTAAATAAATTTTATTTAAAAAATCACGGAATTTTTTCTGCTCTTTAAAATTAATCTCGGGATTTGAGGCATATCCACTTTATTCTTTCGCTGTATGAAACCAGTGTAAGTTCATTAATAACTCTACCTAATTCCGACCACTGGTTATTACATAAGCTATCTGCCTTAAATTAATTTTTAACTATTTTTCATTAACTTGGATGGCTTTAAAATACGGTGGAATTAATCTGAATTATTAATAATATCATTAATAAACTTTTGGGGTAAAAATATTTAATAAGCGTTGACATGAATCGATTATTTTTAATTATTAATCGATAACGATTAATACTAAAATCGATTAATCGATTCTCCATTCAGTATAACATTAGAAAAAAAAAGGATCACAGAAGCAGCAGTGCAGAACATTTTAATTTCAAGATAAATTTTATAAATATATATAATAGTTTTGTTAAAACTTTGAACGTTAGGGAGTCTGAAAGAGTTGGGAATTGTCCATTTTCTTTTGCGATGATGCTAGAATTTTCTAAATTCATCATTTGCTCCCAAGCCAACACGGAACTATAACTATCTATCTGTTGTTTTAGATATCAATTCTAATTGTAAGTGTATACACTAGAACAGAATTTAGTTATATTTATGCCCAGGAAAGAAAGGTAAACAAAATGAAATTTTTATTATTACTTTTATTACATTTATTCAGATATTATTAGATTATTGATTAAGATATTGGAAAAACTTCCTGAAATGTCAGAGGTAATTGTTGTATGCCATTCCGACCTGCACCGGAATCGTCCATATTTAGCAAAACTTAACTTCAAAAAGATAACTAAAACAAAACTATAAGAAAACAACAATAATACAATAACAATTCAATCACGGAATACGGTAAAACAACAAGAAAGGCAATAACATTCACAATTAATGCGAATCCCAGATTACGTATTTTGACTATTATGAATATATCATAATCTGACAAAATTAAAAAGCTGTACTACCGAAACGTTTGAAGGGATTAAGCAACGTTTTAAATTTGGTAGAGTTATAGTGACATGAGAATCGTACCGAGACAATCCAACCCCGCTTCTCTAGGTTCTTTAAGATGAACACTTTTTATTGTAAAAGTTATTAAATCTTTTAAGTTAGTCAAATACTCATAATTTTGTTAAACAGTTAACTTAAACGACACCTGTTAAGTATAGCAGCTGGTATTTAAGTGGATATGTAGGTTAGAAGGAACATGTTCGTCGATTTATATGGAGACCGAGCGTGCCACATTTTGTGTAGGTATCATGACGTCACGATCTTAATTTAGTGATGGAAGACATAATTTCACTTGCATCGAATACATGTTGTATTTGAAACGGCATACCGATTCTTATCGATTGAAAAAACGATATCGATCGACGGAGACCAACGTGTACAGTCTGTCTATAAAGTCATGAAAAGAATGTTTGAGGAACTAACATTAGACACAAGTATGACAACACTGAATCAAAGTACATCGACTGTCAACAGCTTGATTTTTTAGCTCGATTTTCTGCATTTTTGATTTGTTTTGATTCAACTGAAGCTACTTCTTCTAAACTCCGTCGAAAAGTGTTAAAAATGAAGTGAATTAATCAGAGTGAAGCTCAGGATATTATTTATAAAGTTTTTCAGTGATGTTTATTGGAACAAGAAGCTATGATATATGAATTTAAGTTTAAAATAAGTATTGTTTACATTATGCATTTATAGGTTAGATTGAAAATGTAAGAAGGCTATTGTAGTGCGGCCCGAACTTTTAATACTTTTGGATAATCAAATTTATTATTAATTTTAATCTGAATAAAAAATATACCTGTTAGGAATGTACGATTTTTACCTACGTACGCCAATAAAAAAGTTTGTGCTTTATATTACTAAAATTATAGCATTAATTTGATCATTGTGGCGATTCCATTCTTTTTGCCAAGTACCTATAGGTATTACATTTTTAAAACTTACTTTCAGGAAAATCAGAGAATATAGTGATACGTATTGTAGATGAAGATTATAAAATGGTGGCATATTTGAAACCCCTGGGAAACATAGATAGTCGTCCTAAGAAATAAATGGTTAACTGCAACATTTGTGCACTTCGACAAAAGATTCAGTTCTTTTACTCTGTGAAAAAAAGAGGTACCTACATGAAGAAAACATCAGTGGATTGCCAAAACCGATCTGGATTTTAATTGTAGCCTAGAAGTCCTGCGTTAAATTCTGAAATATATTGGGTTTTCTTACAAGGACTTTCAAACTAACAGGCTTTAATCGAACACAAGCACACATTGCAGTAAAACGAGAAAACAACTTGGCAATAAAAAAAAGATTTATCAAAAATTACGATTACTATATTGTAATCTTCAATGTAGAATAAACTCATTGTCTACGAATTATACGCCTTTCTTTACCTTTTCTGGGGTAATAAAAGTAAAAATAAATCCTACTATCAAAATCATTTGTCTCACTACACAGGGTTGCTACGTGCACGATCGCAGCGCCCTCAATTTTTTTCATGACTTTATAGACAGACTACCATTTTGCTTAAATATTATGTATATGTCACGAACTAACGAATGTAATTTAGTGAATCGGCGCAAAAAAGATTTTATGCGATAGAATAGAAATCGGCATTTTTCTGTGGGCAAACACTTTGTAGTAACCGCTACCCCCTCCCGACACGCTACACATTTTTACGTCCTGTGTTGTTATGTTATGTTTCACGGCGGGCTTTTCTGCAACTCGAAACTCAGTGCCTATTTTGCATGACACGGGGTTGCCTTAGTCCTGCCACCCCAGCTCCTCCAGGAAGCCCGAAAGATCTCGAACTCTGCCGCATGCTTCCACTAGTATCCTTGGGCTTAATAGATATGTAGTCCTTTGTCTTTGGCTCCTGCATTCCAGTATCACATGAGTGCACAAGCGCTTATGTGATACTGGAATGGAGACTGAGGAGACAATGTCCTCAGTCTCCATGCACGCCCTGCTCAGAGGACTGTCAGAATAACCCATGTTATATAGGTGTTTGTTAAAGTTTCCATGTCCAGTAAGTTTACCTACTATTTGCCTTAGAGTCCTGTTGCTTCAATCCATTTATTTTTAATATGAGGATCATACGAAAAACTAAAACAAAAATTACAATATAATTCAATATAAAATTAATTATCATTTTTTCTGCTTTCAAAAACGATATTTTTATAATCGGGTAAAAAAATCGCATTGTACAGCACTATTCTCCGTTTTTGACAGAAAAAATGATAATTTGTCCTCCAACAAATTGACCTTGAATTATACATCGATGGTTTTACAAGCACAGCAAATTTGGACTGTCAAATTAAAGCCGCATTGGAAAGCTATTACTGGACACATGACCGTTTTGATAAAAATAATACGGAGCAACAAAACTAATGATTTTTAATTCAAAATAGATATATCAAGGCAAATAGATACTTACCGATGGAAGGAAATACCTCGACTATAAGATCCAACCATATTGGTGGTGTTTGAGCAGGTAATTATCGAACAACGCGTCATTTTAAATGTCGTCCAACACCGATTGCGATCGAAAGTGGACTGAGCCTCGCGGCAAGCAATGAAGCTGTCTAGACGTCGTTTCGGCACGCGAAGTACGTACACTTTTTCCTTCTAACTAATTGTTAATATTTTGTCACAAAGTATACCATAAAAAGAACCTTATTTAACTTCTGTCTAATGCTATAATTAATGGAGTATAGGTTAGGTAATTAGCAATATAATACCATTGATATTTAGGCAACAAGCACAACACATTAACAATAAACGAGATACAAAAATCAAGAAGCTGATAATTTGAAAAAGAAATAAAGGTATTTTATCTCTAATGAGGAAATATTAAAAAAAAATAGAAAGCACTAAAAAGCACCTCCACTAGATTGTCTAGCAAAAGTTTATTTTTGCAAGAAATGAATAGACCAAAAATAGTACTTTCTGTACGTTTTAACTAAAATACTAAAATTAAAAAACTGAAATTTGCAAAGTTTGAAATTTAGATATCAATACATATACGAAAAAATTCTATCTAAAGTTCTTAAAATAAATATAGCTTGATCTCTGTGACAGCTGTCACTAGAACTGTGACACTGACGATATAGTCCGTTTTGTCGATAGAACTCTTTATATTTTAAAAACTGATTTTAGATGATTAAAAATAATCAATGAAGATATTATTAACTTTTGATTATTTATTTATTTACAATCGGACTATGAAGATAAAAGAGAATAATGGATCTAGGTTTAAAAACATTCATTCTCATAGGAGGTTAATTTACAATTAGATAAACAATATTTTTGAAAAAGTAACATTTCTCTTTAATGTATACAATAAAAATATTGTAATATAAGTCCCTTAAATTGATAATTCACTGGAACCTTTTCTAAATAACACCCGCGTGACGTTATTTTAAAAATAGCAACTATAGATAGCACAAAATGCATGAGATAAATTACGTCACACTTACGCCATCAAAATGGCCACCAGGTGCATTAGCAATTTGTGGGGATTATACTAAATATAATATTACAATGTGCACTTATATCTGAACAGTACAATTTAAAAAGTTAATCAAGATGAATTACATTTAAATTAAACAAAAACTGTAAATTGATTGTATTTATTGATCTAAAAGAGCACATCTAAGGTCATCATCGTCATCATCATAATCATCATTATACTCCGAATCGCTAGAGCAATCTTGTATCGATAATGAATTGCTCACAGATTGAATCGAAATTGCAATCACGATCCCAATCCTCTTCTACCTTTTTTTTTATTTTAGTCGTTTGGTGTCACATGTTCACAGGCATTATTTAATAATGTGAGCATCTTATTTGCAGTGAAAGGCGGAGTTGTGTTGTGTCTAGCTGCGTGACCTGAAAATTATAATGAAATATTTACGATTTTAACCAAAATATTGGTATGATTATCTAAACTTGTATATTGACTATGCGTCAATAACATTGAAATAAGAAACAGACTACAATATTACAAATAAAAGAAAATCAACAAACCTTTGACTTGAGCCCAGATCAATTCGATCGCATTATATTGGCAATGATACGGTGGCAATCGGATTACTGTATGTCCCACTGCTTTAGCGATCTCATCCAATACATTTACAGGAGTGCGAGGTTTGTGAATATTCACCAATCGGAGCAATTCTTTTTTTAATAGTGTTTCGTTGACCTCCACTCCTTTGTTTTGCAGCCATGAAATAATTTCGTTCTTTCTATTATTGCTTGTCGGAGCCTTATCTCTTTGCACCGAATGGTATGAAGCGTTGTCCATTACGATAGTATGTGGTTCCTTTAAGTTATTTAAAAGGATTAGAAACCACTCTCTAAATTTCTCGAAATTCATTTCTTCATGATAATCTGTGGTTTTTACGGATTTGAACGCCAATAAACAATTTGGTACAAAACCGGCATGTACAATTATCAGTCGTTGTCTCTTGCTTTCAGGGACATTCATGGTGGAGTCTGCTTTGTCGTCTGTCCATGACTTTGAGACTGTGTGGTTTGCATTTAGCCACGTTTCATCCAGAAAATCTATCTTGTCACAGTCAGTAACCATTTTTATATTTCTTAAAAAATCAATGCGGGCGAGAGCAATGTCCGTTCTTTCCATTACAATTTTCCTTCGATTGTTTTTTTTATATTTAAAGCCTATATTTTTTAATATTTTGGATAGACTTGGCAAGCTTCCTTTAAATAAATCTGCGTCTTTGAGAGACACACTCAACTTTATGAGTGTTGGGTATTCGCCTCGGTTATAATATCCATAAATATGATTCCGGATAGCAGCTGCGTCGAAATCGTCGATATCCGAGACCGGTGAAGCTTTTTTTCTTTTTTTGTTTGGAGTTGATAATTTTTTATCAGCATCTACCTTTGGCGCATCGCTTGATCCTTCTTCATATTTTTCCTTATTAATACGAACTACAGTAGCTCTACCAATGCCAAGAGCGTCAGCAACTCGTTCGCACACTTGCGTTAATGGCAACAACGACCCACCATTTTGGTTCTCGCGTTCAAAATAGTCCCGTAAGCGAACCACAAACTCACGGCATTCACTATTAAGAACTGTCTTTTTTGCTCTCTTTGGCATCGTGATACCAAAAAAAAACTTAACAATAAACTTTAACTAATCAACCACCACTAAAAACAAAACTTAACAATCAAACGTAACACTTTAATTAACGGGACAACCACCAAAACAGAAACAAACGTAAAGCATACAAGGCGTCGGCACTCGTACTGAATGACATGAGATGATACATGACGCACAATAATCAACATGGCTGCCGGCGTCACTGCATGGTGCTGCCACAATGATTAATGTAACGATTGCAACTGTTTTATTTATGAATAAATAGGTTTATGTTATTAACAATAATGATTATGTATTTAATTGTATCACCATATAATATATTTTTTTAAGCATATATATGCAAACAAACCAACAAATAATAGTCTTTTCTCTTTATAATATTAGTATAGATTGGATAAAGATTATCGTATTTACATTTATCGACTGTCACATCTCTATCTTTTTGTTAGTCCAGTATGACCTTATAATGCGTAAGCGTTACATTTTTATAAAGTCATTGCTAGTAGTTTTATAACTTACGAAATACGTTATAGGTGAATTTTTATATTTATAATGCATTGCAGTTCATTTATGATAATACCCATACGTAAAGAATAAAAATATAAGTGATACAAAATGACATTGTAAACATGACGCTTGTTCAAAGTTACTTCGTTGGTTTCATTGACATCTGTCACAGAGATCAAGCTATATTTTAAGAACTTTAGTTTGATTTCGGGAACTAAGGTTTTTTTTTTGTACTTCCTCATTGGCAATAGGGATACGACTAGGGATACGAAATAGCTTGGATAACAGGCATTAAAGTTGTGGAGGTGGGGGCTCGCTACGTCACAGTTTTGTAGAAAAAGTACCATAACGTGACGACATGCGAAATTTCAACTCCATGTATCGCCGTAATTTTATGATTATGAAAAAATAAAAAAATACGTGTTTAATATTTTCTACACTCTACTTGACGTACAAACAAATAAAAATTAGTCGTCATCCTTATACTCATCACTGCATCATCTGCACCCTCTTTTTTGCAAGTTCTGTGGCATTCTTTTTACTCTTTTTAGTAACTTGTAACTAGTTCTCTTATTGGTCTGTGCTTGTAACTTTTTATTTTACTCTTTGCTCGGTCTCGGTATTGTCTTGCCGTAATCTTTTTTTATTGAATTTATACAAAGAACTCAAAAAGTACACAACGATGAGCGAATTAGTTTGGGGAATCAAAAATGGAGATATAGATCAAGTAAAACAAATTATAGAAAACAAGGTACAGATTTTATCTACAATAAATTTAACAAATCAGTGTTGAGAGAAAGCGTTCTGTTTTATTCTCTAATGTTTAAAATTACTTTGTTGTTACTACTCATACGAATTAACATGACATCTGAGGCAGTATTCTATTTGTCTTCGAACGAAAATCTGAAATTTTTCGTATAATTTTGTTAAAATCATATCCGTGAAGATTATCGATGCTTCAGAGGCAGTGTCAGGCCCTACCTCCGTTCCATTATAAATTATCGGAAATTGCGTTTCTTTCGGAGTCGTATAAACATTTCGAAAATTGATGTATTTCAGTTTTCGGAGAAATAGAATAGGTGGTCCAGGTGTAATAAAATCATTGATAGCGGTCAGGTGTAATATAAATAATTAATTTTGAGGTCTAAGTATAATACAGTATTTAAGAATAATATTTTTTCATCAACAAAATAAACCCCTATCAGAAAACTATTAAATTTTATTTTAGTTTAGTTTAACTGTTAGGACAACAATAATTAAAAGATACCAAATCTAAATGTCAATTATAATGATTTTATTAATTCAATCTAATTTTTAGTACATATTTTAGTAATTATTGCTATTAACAAAATATTTGTATTTTAATATACATTTTTTTTAACCAATGCTTTTTAATTATCTGGAAATACAAATAGTGTGCAATGGATTTGTTAACAAACATCACCATACCCATGCTATGTGAAACAGACTTTAAAATATAACTATATCTGACATTTACAGTTAAAGTTACAGATAATTTTCCAAAAATATCTAATATTTTACAAATGTTTACAGCAAATTGATGTCAATGCCTTTATAGATGGTAGAGTTCCACTTCATTATGCTGCAGATTATGGTCAAACAGTAGTGTTGAACTATCTATTGGATAAAGGTGCAGATCCTAATGTAAGTTTAGAATTAGTTGGTCTTTGTTGATTTTTTTTTTGTTTTAATACTTATACAGTGCTATTTATAAACAAGGTTTAGGATTAGAGTAAATTTATGCTAAAATTCCAATTTTAGTATTAATCCAAATTCATATTATATAGAGAATAAGCTAACCACTATCTTGTAGGAGTAAATATTACTCCTGTAGAATCTCATACTAGGTTAACCTTTATGTCTGTTTATTAATATGAACTTTGTCTTATACTAAGTGTGGTCTCGGCATAAATTTACTCCAATGCTAAACCCTGTTTATTAAAAATGCTGATAATGTTTATAATTACAGATGGTGGATAAACATGGTATATCAGTACTTTTAGCTGCTATTTGGGAAGGTCATACTGACTGTGTTAAAACACTTTTGAAGAATGTAAGTGTCTATTTGTAACCTTGTTTTTATTTTAATAACTTAATATTTGCAAACTCAAAATTACTTCCACAGGGTGCATCGAAAGATGGCAAAACTCCTGATGGCACACCTTATATTGAAGCTGCTGAGAAAGAAGAAATCAAAGAACTGCTCACATAGAAGTAAATGCTTTAAACCATTTCATCACTTTGCTGACTTATTGATTTATATTTTTATGAAAGCCAAGATGAAGTATTTGTTCTAGTGTTAAATTTCATAAGTGATAACATTAGTCCATCATATATTTTATATGCATTTATTTACATTAAAATTATTTTTTTATGCTCAACATATTATGGTGTTGTAAATAGCAACCATTTTATGTTTGTGAATTTAAAGTGGTAATTGCTTGATAAGGCCTATTGATAAGACACTGTGTTGGCCCAGTTCCATGAAAATATTTAAATGTGTTTCTGTAGAAGGCCTTTATTATACATTAAGTGAAGAAAGTGATTCATAGAGTCCATCACCACAGCATCCCCGTTCACTTTGGTTTTGAAACTAATTTTTGACTCAATTAAGTCTCAGAATACTTAGCCATTTCTCACTAAATATATTGGTGATATAAGTGCAGGTGAAAAACAGGGACATTTGTATGCATATAAAACTTTATATACTTGGCAATTTTTGTTTTATAATTGGTTGGTGATATGTAACTGATAAATTAGGATCTTAACATGTCAAGGCTTTATTTCAAATTTTAAGAAGACTGCTGCTGTGCTGATAGACACGTAATTCATATTAGCTTGTAAGTTACAATACTTAGATATTGTAAGTAATTTTTATTGCATAAATGAAACATAACAGAAAGGCAAGCTTATATTATTTTCTTATTTAACAATGTATACAAAAATAACAATGATATATAGTATTGCATCATTCATCATTGTAACTTTGGCAAATAAATATTACTGACAAAACTATCACTAATTGTTTGACCAGATTTATATCTATCACAAAGTTGTTTCATTGAGGGTACAACACACAGGACAATCACAAAACCACCTTCGGGTTTAGAACTTCTAAATACTAATTCAAAATCAAATAACCTACAAGCCTCCATCACCAGCATATTTTTTATATCTACTATTTTTAACAGGAGGACAATAACATGCCTCTTTTTGTGCATCCAAATAAGATTTACATCCCAATGTCAATGTTCCTGTAAATAGTAGTTTTGCTGCAGCTTTACAACCTGCAATTAAAGATTTTAAATTATGTCAAAATATTTAAATTAACTGTTTACATGATCGAAAGGAAAGCTGCAATAAATTTAGAGTGCTTACAAATGTATCTTATTAATGAAATAAATTACCTTTAGTTACTGTTGCTCCAGCTACATTTAGTGATTTGTATGATTCACAATAATTATAAAGGCACCTTTTGAATTCTAAATCACATACTTCTTTGCCACTGTTACAAGTGTCATAACAAATATCATGATTGTCACAACATTTTGTCATTTGCTCAAGTGGCAAGTACTCTGATGATATTTCAAACCCCAATGAACCACAACCATCCGACTTTGGAATATGATTCCTGTTCCGTACTGGTTTTATTCCTAAAAAGTTTTAATAAAGATTTAAATGACTTATATAGCATTTACATTAGAAACCAAAAAAAATCATATAAAGTTGATGACCTTCTGGGCAAGTAAATACACAATCCTCTTCAACTGCAGCATCAAAAACTTCATGTATAGAACGAAATTTTTCAGCTACTGTTATAACATTTCTCAGCATGTCTCCAAAAACGGATTCGGCCGACAATACAGCATCTTTTAAATTTCGTAACATAGTTGAACCTATGCCCGTATATGCGTAAGCGGCGAATGTTAATATATAAATGAAAATTTTCCTGTATGGAATCTCCATTTTAAAATGAATCTATTCAGTGTTAAGAATGAACACGTAACTGCAACAAAATCTCATTTTTTACCACATTTCTACTAGCTATTTACCTATCGATGACGTTATACCTACTTACAATAGACGACAAACGTCATTTTATTTGCTCTTTTTGCAATAACGACGCTTGATCTGAATCATCAAGAATACGATCTTATCTCAGACCAAATCGTATGCATGGAAGATCGTATGAAAAAATCGTATCAATAAAACACAAAAAAATGTAAAAAAATTAGCTGGTCCAAACTGAGTATCTAAAGAAAATAAGATTACACCTACCTTTTTCTATTGTTTGTTATACGAATCTAATAACAAACAATAGAACTGCTCCGAATGTGAAATATGAAATTAAAGTTCGAATTATTTTATTATAACTCTGTTTATTTCTATTTACGGCCAGATGGCCGTAGTAGGCTAGATCCAGTACATTAATTAGTTATTATTTCTGAAAAGTTGGAACGCACTACACATACACTAAATTGGTAACCAATAAACAGTCTTAAGAAAACGGTTCGTTCATTCAACGTTCTTGCCTAATATCTTCATATTTATACTTTTACAAAGTTCTTTGATCCAACACTGTTGAAAATATTAATTAAATATAGTCGAGATCGTGATCTTATGACAATTTATTTTTGAAGTATAATTTTTTGGTGTTATACTTTTCATTATACAAGGTCCATAAACAAAGAGTTTCTACAACAAACACGACCCAAAATATCTCTCGTTTTTAAAAATCGGGTATTCTTAGACCTTTATTCCTTTGTTTAATTAAATTCTGATTAATTTCGCTCCTATAATGGCAGATAAAATATATATTTTATCCGAATGCCAGAATCACGATTCTCTGTCGTGTTGTGTGCGTGGCAGAAGCACATTCGTTTCGTTTATTTAGTATGTGACACGTTTGTGTGTTGCGATTGCGACAGAAATATATCCATTTTATTCTATTAAGTAAAAAAAAAAGTGACAAAACCTTAAACGACACAACATGTTACATAAATCTGTTTTAGCCTTAAAGGCTGCGTACAGTCAACAGTATAAATCTGTCAATATTCTCCACTTGATTTTAAATTTTAATGTTGGTAGAATTTGAAGTCAACTTGAGTTTGGCATATTGTGATAACCTGACGTGCTGCCGTGTGTACATTCCTATGTGCACTACAGTTAGGCCATTATAACAGGGCACATTTGACATCTCTCGGTCTCAACTTCAAAGTAACCTTGTAATTTAATAAACATAATATAATTTTTTTTTTCAAAGTAATGGCAAGGGTAGAATTACAAATTTCTTTAGTAATAAAATATATTTATTGGCATAATAAGCAATTTTAAGTTTTACTTTGACCAACAAATTTTTCTAAATGTTATAATCTATTTAATTAAAACTATACGCCGCTACAAAGTTATGTTCAGAAGGATTAGACCAAACACTCCAAAGTTGATTTCATAATTATTTATGAAAACGTGATCGAATAACCACATTGGGATTCTAATAACAAAAAATTTGTTAAATGAAAACGTAGCCACTTTTAAATTATAAATAATTTCATTCTACATATATATATTGTTTTAAATTCAAAGAATATATAACTGTATTTGTAAAATCTTTTAAATAAGAAAATATTGACAAATAAAGAAAATTAGTCTTTCCATTTTTGGTACGGCAATTCGTTGGGCCTTTGTTTGCTGTTCGGTTGGTCAACTGTGGGTAATGGCACCCCTGATTGCACTGCTGCCCACAAAGCTAAAGTACCGTGGCCCACCGTTACAATTGGAGAAAGGGCCAACTGAAGCTTTTCCTTCGTTGGTCCTAGTCACCTTTTACAACGTAAAGCCAACTGCGAATTTTCCCACAATTTTCTCACATAGGGCCAACAAACATTCTATAACGTTGGGCTGACCGTTCATGGTAGGGCAACTGTGGTATTTAATTGTAGGCCTAACTCAACTTTTACTATATAAGGCCAACTGCAGTGCTCCTCATAAAGGGCCAAGGACACAGGACCAACTAAGATTTACTCATAATAGGGCCAACATATTTTGCAAAGTAAGGCCTACATACACCATCTTTGTAGGGCTTACAAACTGACTGCACAGTATATCATCGAATTCATGAAAACATTTAATTAAAAAATGTATTTATCAAATGTTTTTACCAATGTTGATAAATACTCATGAACCCGATGACATGCCTACTATTCAGTCAGTTTGTAAATCCCACAATAATGTGTCTGAAGGTCTTACTTTGTAAAACAATGTTGGCGCTATAATGAGTAAATCCTCAGTTTGGCCCAGTGTCCTTGCCTTTTATGAGAAACACTGCAGTACGTCTCGTAGTCTTGGTGGGCATCTTGGTGAGGCTGTAAAAATAAAATACAATTGTAAATTTAACCATATTTTATTTGGCTGAAAAACCATGAATTGGCGTGAAACAAAAAAAAACAAAACTTGAAAAAATTACAATCAGTAGGTTTTTAAAACATATTATATCTGTGTAAGAGCACCGCAAATTGTATGGAATTGACTCACTCCCCACACTCTTAAAATTGAAACTAGCATTTCTCATTGAGTAAATCAAGCTTAATAGTGCAAATTCATACTCACATAAGGTACACAGATAAATGAATGGTCATTACTATCAAAATTAGGCAACAATAAACATTTCTTGCTTAAATCGTTTGAATTGACAATAACATTTTTTTCACCACTGACCATGTATATTCTCAATTTGCTACTTTCAATTTTACACATGAATTTTTCAAAAGGAAATGTTGAAAAGGAATCTAGTTCTCCAAAGTTATATACATCATACATTATTTTGATCAATATTATTACAACACAATATGTATATTGCACAATGAAACATCAAAAAATGTTTATACAAACTACTCGATAATATATTTTTTAAAACAATGGGACCCAAATATAAAAGAAAAGCTCTAAATTCCGTTGCTTTCCAATACTTGAATAAACTTAAAGAACTAGGCTGTCTCGAAAATTCGGTGGGATAATGTACGTATAATTTTTAACCATTCTGATACTACGGATATTTTAGAAGCATTTAATTTACATTTTTTTGGTCCATTACATATCCAACTTTGTATAATTTTTTTCATAACGTCTAAACAAACTAAACGCATAAAGTCTAATGGGACTTGCGTCACTAAACCTAAATCAAGTTCTGTAATTCAGTTTTAGATATGTGATGATCCTCATATTCTTGACTAAAAAATTTTGTGTCAGTTTGAAGGCAAATGTAGTTCTTCTCTTTTCTCTTCCTCCATCGCGATCTTTAGTAAATCTGAACCAACCACTTATTATACTCTGAATTACATCATCAGTTGCAAACTCTGCAATCTTATGATGACATACAGCATCTGTGATAATTTCCAACAGGTGAGTTGCATATCACATACTACAAGTACCAACTAATGTTATTATTAATGTATAGCAATAATGAATTGTATTTTTCAATCAACACAAATAATTAATTAGTAAAAATGTTGTTAATTTAATTACCTTTTATTATCTTTACTATACGAAGATCCTTTAGGGAAGTCTTTTAATTTTTTCCCTGTCCAGTTACAATTGACAGCAAGGTTGTTTGTGAACACTTTTTCAAGTATCCTTTTAACTATGGCTGGAGGTTTATAGCCGCCAATATAACTCAAATGATTTACCTGCAAATGTTAACAGATTACTAAATTATCGCATCTGCTAGGTTTTGTTTTTCTTCTACGTCATATGATTTACTATCTGCCATATTGCTATAGGTACTTTTAACTAACTAGCTCAATTTAGTAAAAAATTAAACAGACCTATACCAATCACTACCCATATATTGAAAACTACTCAACAGAATTTGAAGAAACTTGGACTGTTCCCCAAGTTGAACAATACCTAACTTATATCAAAAAGAATCATCTCAATACAACATAGTTTCCAAGAAATCCGTGGACAAACATTCATACACTTATGAAATTAAGCACACATGCTTAGAGCCTAAATGGATCATCATACTCAAATATTATCCAATTCCAACAGTATTATGTACAAGTCAAATTGCTAACCTCTTTTTTTGAAGTCGGTTAAAAATTGTAATGGTAAAAAGTTGTCCCTATCCGGAAATACGAATACAAGATATAAAACTATCGCACGTCGTTTAACCTAAGCTCTGATATTACAAGGCGATAATTTTTAACCAACTTAAAAAGGAGGTATGGAATTGCCATACATATAGTATGATGATCCCTTCAGATCCCTTCCATACACCTGTGCTTAATTTCGCGTGTGTCTGTTTGCATGTTTATTCACCGATTTCTTGGAAACTATTAAGTTGTTCAATACAACTTCATACATGATTCTTTTTCATAAAAAGTCAGGTATTAAAAAAAGTTGTCATAATAGTTTTTGACAGTATTATTATCAATGTAGGGAGAAGTCAATACTTAGTCAAACTTTATGGTAAATAATAAAAAAAACATATGAATACTTGCCAACAGTTTATAATTATCATTTGAAATCCAATTTTCTAAATCTTGTAAAGATTGTTAATCATCACATAATATTTTAATACCATCAGGCAACATAGCAGGTGATAGAGTTGAAGATGGATTCCTTAACCTTGTTAAGATCTCATTTTGATTTGATTGCAATTCTTTAATAGCAAATTCAATGTTAGCTAGATGGCGGGCAATTACATCTGAAAATGTATTTCATATCACTTAGGGATTATTAAACTTATTCATAGCTATATTTATGCATAAAAGAGCATAGCAATATTAACATTATATTTTTTACATCTGTTAAAAAGTAATAATGTACAATACTTGTGTATTTCTTACCTAGACACTGCGAGTTAAGCAAATTGTCCTTAAAATAAGTGTCAATGTTAAATCCAATGATACTGAAATATAATTACAATAATGTCATTTATATGCATTTAATAAGAATTTAATATAGCATATTTGTAAATAACAAATCTTAGGTGCAACCAAGTGTAAAACAAAAAAGACTGAATTAATATTAAAGTAATAGTAAGTACATATAAGATAGTGTTTTTGAAACGTCAGTATCGCCAGTAGTACTGCTTACATCTAAAAATTGGATAGGAATTATTGCAATGTGATTAATTCCACAAAGCGAGGTTGTGTATGCTTATATTATTTAGCCATGCAATTAAATATTATTTTATAGCTTGCATACACAGCATGTTGGTAGTCTCACAACCATAACCATATTAACACACAAGTAGATAGTCCACAACCTATTTCACTAGTTATGCTTACTGTAATAAAATAATGTAAAAAATAATACTGTAAAAAATAATAATGCTTATTGTACCTGCTGCATGTCTGTATAAATAAATTGTGGAAAATCTGCACTAAATTATGGAGTATTTAGTGATGCACTAACAGCTTACCCTCTTATTTGTCTTTGATTAATAGATAAATACTTGTAAAATAACGATGACTGTAATTAATAAGCGTAGTATTGACTTGAGAATAAATGTACGAAATATTACAAGGTATTAAAACACGTAATTTCCATGATTGCACATATTCATTTACTTGTATTCGTAAACAGTACAGATTATTATTACTTATTGTATTTTATTAATATTATTACAAATAAAGGATTAATATTGATCACTGCGTATTAAAAGTAGGATATTAATTTAAGTATACAATGTTATAAAAGGGTACTAATTATAAAAAGTAACTTCTAATGTCGTTCAACTATATGTTTATGTATTTCAAAAAGGTAATTATGATTAAACAAACTCAATTTAATAACTTACAAACCTAAATGTAAGAAACTCGAAAATTAGAACATTGATTGTATTGAAAACGACATCTTGCGAAAAAACTATGACAGTATTGTTTTTTTTATTGTTGGCAATAGAATAAAAGATGGCAGAAATGTAACACCGATGAATGGCGAGTCAGTGTGAAATAAAGTATTTATCAAGTAATATTAGTTTAAATCAATGCATCGTCCCAAGTTTTGATATCGGTCAATAGCTTCAGAAGCGGGATCAACGAAAATATAATAATTTTCGATCTACGCCTACAAAGTAAAACGTGAGTAATAAATAAATTTATGATTTTTCTAAAGTAATATGAAGTTTCAAGTACTGCACTAGTCGAGTTTATTTAAATATTACGAAAGTAGAGAGTTTAATAGTTTCTATTATAAGGAATGTTTAAAAAGAAACACTTAACATAATGCTTTAATTGAGATCTTGAGTAGTTTGTTATTGTGTTTTATTGTAACATCATGTTAATTTTTTTTATTCCTTTTGTTATAATGAATCAAGTTAAAGACAATAATGTATTTAAAAGTTTAGATGGGTTATCTGCGTATAACATTGGCGAAAAAAAAAGCAAGGCAATCGCCTGAGTTTCACTTTAGTCTCGTTTCAGCAAGTGTTATGGCTAATGTCATTTTCATTCGTAATTTCCTGTAAATAGGTAAAAGAAAAAAAACGAATATAATAACAATGCTGAAATAAAATTACACCAGTGACTTCTAAAGATGGCCCTAATATTTCTCGAAATTGAATTAGTATATTGCTTATACCATGGATGAATTCAATTCAAATTCATAAATGTGCGTCCATTGCTCAAAGTATTATCGTGATAATAGCTGTCACGATTAACGAATATGACTCGTTTATTTTTTTCATTATCCCTTTTCACATAAATATCTTCTATGTTAATAGCAATTAAACATGCACTTAGTTTTATTGGAACAATATATAGGGTAAACTGACCTAATTTTGACACCCCACTAATTATTGGCAACTCTCTGATTTAAACGTTATTATAAGAAAATATCTAGTTTCTCAGTGTTACAACTTATTTAAATAGAGTAAACGATTGCTAAGCAGATTCAGTTCTATCTTTCTACATAAATAAATGTGATTACCTATTTTTAATTTATTCTTGTTCTGTAGTTATTGCACAATCTGAAATGACAGTAAATGGGTCTAGCCCCGTGTAGATTATTGGCCAAAGTATGCCAATAATTGGGAAAATCTTATTTTTGAAAAGATAGCATATAAAAACATTTTTAATAGGTATCTACCACACGTTTCATTTATTAATTTATTTATTATATACGATAATTAACTACTACTGTCACCTTGATAAATTATTAAAATAAAATAACTTATTAAATTTATTTATCACAATTTCATTGGCTAGTGATCCTTAAAGTGCCAATAATTGGGTAACTTACCCTATGTATAGAGGAATTAATTCTAAATAAATAAAAGAAAGAAAGAAATTAAATATATCCCCAAACTTATAAAATAAATCAGATCTTTTTGATTAGATTTCATAAATTGGAATTACTTTTTCTAATATTCATACTTACAATATATTACCAACTTAAATGTTGGTTGAAATAAGTTAACAATGTATCTATCTGATGAGTAATATTTTTGTGTACTTCTAATATCAGATTGGAAAGTAAATTATATTATTTTAACCCTACAACATTGAATATTTTGGTTGTATTTCTTTTTTTTTAAATTTATTTAATTATGTATGTTGTATGTATCTACAATAAAATATAAAATGGCACAGTGACATATTTATTGAATTCAATAATGTTTTACTAAACTGTGATTTGTCAATTTCAGCTATCATGACAGATAGAATGTCATGAATATTATGGAACATTAGTCACAGACCTATGTGTACCCAGGGTAGAGGGTCAAGGTCAGGAAGTGACAGATGTGTGGTAATATAATATATTCTGGTGACGTGGCCAGGAGGACCTATGTGTACCCAGGGTTGAGGGTCAAGGTCAGGAAGTGACAGATGTGTGGTAATATAATATATTCTGGCGACGTGGCCAGGAGGACCTATGTGTACCCAGGGTAGAGGGTCAAGGTCAGGAAGTAACAGATGTGTGGTAATATAATATATTCTGGCGACGTGGCCAGGAGGACCTATGTGTACCCAGGTTTGAGGGTCAAGGTCAGGAAGTGACAGATGTGTGGTAATATAATATATTCTGGTGACGTGGCCAGGAGGACCTATGTGTACCCAGGTTTGAGGGTCAAGGTCAGGAAGTGACAGATGTGTGGCAATTTATTATAGGTATTCATGCAATGTAACCAGGAGGACTTATGTGTGAGGGTCAGGCCGGAGCAAGGAGACTGGTCAGAACAACCAGGGATGTCACGGTTGTGTGGCATTGAGGTTACTAATCAGGGAGTCTAGTAAGTAAAAGAGTTCCTATTAGTTAATGGAATTTATTGAGGAAGTGAAATAGCATCAGTCCAAGTGTGAAATACTATATGAGATAGGTGAGTATTTTGTGATCAGTTAATGGTTCATAAATCTAGGATAACTTTCAATGCTGATATTGTTCCAGAATCCTAACTCGGTTAAAAGAATGAAAGCAATGCTTACATAGTTAATAAAGAATGTACTAAAATTTGTGATTGTGAAGACAGGGATATAATTTATAATACACTTCCTAAGTTAACTTATGTAGAGCTGTCTTGATATAAGGTTTAATGTTAATATAATGATAAGAAAAAGAATTTGGCAAATATATGAAAGATTTTGTAGATAGGGGCTATTAGAATAATTGCTCAAGAGGCAATTAAATGAGTCAGGGCTTATTAAAATTAACTTTTATTGTCAACTCTAGTGATTTGATAAAATATATTACAGGTAACAATTTTAACAACCTCTGGGGTTGAGTGGTTTCGATGCCTTTTTCAGGGTGGCGCCACATCTGAGCTCCCGCAGTTGATTCAATTGGGTCAATGTAGAGAATTACCTTTTCTATAGTGTTTCAATCTTGGTATTGTATTATTTTGGTGCACCTTAGTACTTCCGTGATACAATTAAGGAATTGCATAATGTACCTATATGTATGTTGTCTAATGACTACCTGAGTTTCAGGTCTTCAGTAAAATGCATGAATTGAGAGAAAGTCACCTGCCTGTTCAGTGCTGCATACAAACCGGCCAGGTGCTAGTTGGATTCGCACACCAATAATTCCATATAAACTTGTAGGTATTTATTGAAAATATTTTATTAACATGATTCTTGTTAAAAAAAATATAATAATAACCGGACTTCGTAATTTTTCTTTAGTGTGATATAAGACGTTGCTTTATACTAAAGATTCTGAGTTTACAGGAAGTACCCTGTAGGTTTTAATTCCCTTGCGAGTTTTGAAAGTTTACGGAAAATCTACATAAACGGCTGTATGTTTCGATTGTGTTGGCTTAGAATTTTGATTTTTTTCATAGCCCTAACAGTTACTCTGTGTTATCTTATAAAACTAATTAAGTTCCAACTTAGATGTGGTAACGTCAGAAAAATGTACTA